GCGCGGAAATGAAGCCAGCGCGGCAGCGGGAGCACGATTCGGAACGTGCGGGGCCCGAGCCGGCGCCTCAGCGAGAGCAGCATTTTGGAAAAAATGCAGGCGCAAACCCAACTCCGGGGAAACCTGTGTGTGTGTGTGTAAAAAAAAAAAAACAGTACGCGGGGGGGTCGAATACTCCCAAGCCGTCATCAGGGGAAGAGGGAGAGTAGTATTCATATTGAGTAATTGTAGATCAGGAGAGAATGGGCGAAACTCACTTTAGAATCTTGTTGAAACCACCCCAGGTTCTCCTACCCGCGCCTGGCCGTGGCGACGAAAGTTTCCAGGAACGCCCAGAGGCCCGCAGGATGACGGTGACCGACGAACGACGAGCGGCGTCGACGACGACGAGTCGGTGCGCGCCGCCAAGCGGGCGCTCACCGAAGGCATCTTGTGCCTGTTCACGGAAGGCAGCACTAGTTGCAATGAGCTCGCTGAAGGCAGACAGGTCTGCCTTCAGCGAGCTCACAATTTGCTACCTGTTTTGCGCTCAGCGACGAGCGGCGACGGCGGCGGTACGCGCCGCCAAGTGGGCGCGTGGGTTCCGAGGCTCTGCCGGTTCCCGGACATTGAGCCGCCTGGGCCGCAGGGCGACTCGGCCTCGGCGGTGGCCGCGCGACACATGATCGTGTCGTCAGGATGCACCTGGGGGCTGGGGCGCCGCGCGAGGAGTGTGGTCCGCCTTGTTCGACAGTGGTGCATATATAGATATGTATATATATATGTATATATATATACATATATGTATATATGTATGCATGTATATACGTATGTATATGTGTATGTATGTATGCATGTATGTATGCATGAATGAATGAACGTATGCATGTATGAATGTATGTATGTATGCATGCATGCATGTATGTGCGTGTATATACGTATGTATGTTTGTATGTATATATGTTTGTATGTGTGTATGTATGTATGGATGTATGGATGTATGTATGTATGTGTTTCTGTCTGTCTGTCTGTCTGTCTGTCTATCTGTCTGTGTATGTACGTATGTATGCATGCATGCATGCATGTATGTGTGTATGTGTGTGTACGTGTATGTGTATGTGTATGTGTATGTGTATGTGTATGTGTATGTGTATGTGTATGTGTATGTGTATGTGTATGTGCATGTGTATATATGTGTGTGTGTGTCTGTATGTATGTACGTATGTCTGTATGTATGTCTGTATGTATGTATGTATGTATGTATATGTATATGTATATGTATATATATATATATATATATATATATACACGCCTGGGGAGGGCCCAGAACTGCGATCTCTGGTTCGCACGGGGGGCCGGGGGGGCCTTGAGGGCGCCAAAAGAGTTCAGAATGGGCCCCGGACCCCCCCAGAGGCTCCCAAGCTGGCCCAAGAGGCGCCCAAAGCGCCCCAGGTTGTCTGGAAGGTGGCTGAAGAGTGCACTGGGATGGCTTCTGGACGGGCGACGAGCGCTCGAAGACAGCCCAAGACTGCTCCTACACGGCCACAGAGGCATTCAAGACGGTCCAAGAGGCCGCCGAAAAGGCCTTCCAAGGGCAATAATCAAGCATTTCCTATGACAGAAAACGTATATTTCCTGGGTAGTTGCTTTTCAGCCCCACCAGCGGCCGCGACGGCCCCAGAGGCTCCCAAAATGAGCTCCAGACGGCCCAAGGGGCCCCCAAGACGGCCCCCAGACGGCCTGAAGAGAGCTTCAAGCAGCACAAGAGAGCTCCAGCACGGCCCAAGAGAGTACCCAGGAACCCCGAGGGGGCCACCGGAGGATCCCTACATGGTCGGAGAGGGCCCCCCGAGGGTACCAAGACGGGCTCAGGTCCCCATGACGGGCGAAGAGGGACCCGGAACGGCCGAATTGGGCTCCCAGAGGGTCCAAAAAACACCTCCCAGGACTCCTTGAAGACGGTCCAGGAGGCCGCTGAGAAGGCTCCCGGGTGCAAAAAACTAGCATCTCCCATGGAAAAACGTACATTTCCATGATATTCACTACTTGTGTTCCATCGGCGGCCACGTCGGCCCCAAAGGCTCCGTAACTCGGCGCCACACGGTCCACGAGGCCCCCAAGAGGGCTCCAAGACAGCATCAAGAGAGCGTCGAGCAGCATAAGAGAGTTCCAAAACAGCCCGAGAGAGTCCCCAGAGGGCCCGAGGGAGCCACCGGAGGATCCCTACATGGTCGGAGCGGGCTCCATGAGGGCCCCAAGACGGCTCAGCTACCCATGACATGCCAAGAGGGGCTTGGGACAGCCGAAATGGGCTCCCAGACGGGCCACAAACGGCCCCAAAGGACCCCCCCACGACTGTCTAAGAGGCCGCTGAGAAGGCCCTCCAAAGGCAAAAATCAAGCATTTCCAATGGACATATATGTGTATATATATACATATATATATACACATATATATATATATATACATATATATATATACACATACATATATATACATATATATATATATTTCTGGGAGCTTCGCTGTTTAGTTCTACCAGCGGTCGCGACGACCCAAGAGGTTACCAAAATGGGCCCCAGACGGCCCCAGAGGGCCCGAAGAGAGTTCCGAGATGGGCTGAAAAGAGCTTCAAGCGGCACAGAAGAGCTACAAGACGGCCCAAGAGAGCCCCCAGGAAGCCCGAGGGGGCCACCAGAGGATTCCTACATGGTCGGAGAGGGCCCCCATGAGGGCCCCAAGACGGGCTGAGCTCCCCGCGAAGAGCCAAGAGGGACCCGGAACGGCCGAACTGGCCCTCAGGCGAGCCAACAAAACAAAGGCCCCAAAGGACTCCAAAGGAAGGCCCGGGGAGGCTCCAGAGACTGCCACGATGCTTCCAAAAAGGCTCCCGGCACGCGTTCCAGTAGGCACCCGTGTATCGGGTGCGTGGAAAGGAGAGGAGAGGAGGAGGAGGAGGAGGAGGAGGAGGAGGAGGGGAGGAGGAGGAGGAGGAGGAGCACGAGGAGGAGGAGGAGGAGGAGGAGGACAAGGAGGAGGAGGAGGAGGAGGAGGACAAGGAGCAGGAGCAGGAGGAGGAGGAGGAGGAGAAGGTGCGAGAGGAGGAGGAGGACAAGGAGAAGGAGCAGGATGATGATGAGGAGGAGGACAAGGAGAAGGAGGAGGAGGAGGAGAAGGAGGAGGAGGAGGAGGAGAAGGACTAGGAGGAGGGGGAGGAATATCAGGAGGACGAAGAGGGGGAAGAGGAGATGGAAGAGGAGGAGGGACACTGTTCTTATAATTAAGATTATCTTGTTCTCTGATTCTCTGGCTCGGGGAGGGTTGCTGAGGACGAGGCGGGAAGGGGAGCGCAGGATGAAGAGGGCTCGAGAGGAGGAAGGAGGTAAAGTAGGTGAAGGAACACAAGGAGGGACACATCGAAGAGCGGGGAAGACAGAGGAGGAGGAGGAGGAGGAGAAGGAGGAGGAAGAAGAGGAGGAGGAGGAGGTGAAGGAACACGGATCCCTTTCAGGGATATGCCGACGAGGAAAGGATAAGTATAAGATGATGGGAAGAGGGAGAACGGGAAGAGGAGGAGGGGAAGGGGACTGCAGTGGAACAAGGATAATGACAGCGATGACGATGATGATGATGATGACGATGACTATGCCGACGACGACGCCGACGACCAACAAGATGTTGATGATGCAGATTATGATGCTGAAAAGTACGATGATGATGATGATGATGATGATGATGATGATGATGATGATGATGATGATGATGATGGCGATGGTGATCTTGATGCTGATGATAATGGTGGTAATGATGATTGTTGTGATGGTGGTGGTGAAGCTGACCATGACCATGACGATGACGACGAAGATGACGGGGATGAGGATGACAATGATGACGATGACTCGCCCGGAAGCGCTGCTAAACTTTGCCGGCCCGGGCCCGCGCCGTGCTCGATGTCATCCAGAAGCCTCCGCGTCTTCTTCTCTGGAAGGGGCGCGGCGACGCGAAGCCGGTGGCGGCGGCCCCGGGCGCCGAGGTTGCAACGGCCATTGCGTTTCCGTTCACCCGCGGGGCCCATTCCACGGAGCCCTGGGGCCCATTCCACAGAGTCTGGGGGCCCATGCCCCTAGGACCGGGCCGATCGCCGAGATGCCGAGCCCGACTTGCTCCACGGAGCCTCATGGCCCATTCCATAGAGTCCCCCGGGCCTGGTTCCACAGAAACCCGCCGCTTCTCCACGCGGGCCCAGGGCTCGTTCCACAGCGGCCCTGGGGCCCGTCCTACAGAGCCCATTCGCAGAAGTGACGCCGATCGTCGCGTCCGAGCCGGCATGCCGAGAAACTGTTCCAGGAAATCTACTCGCGCGGTCCGATACACCGATATACCGATTCATATGTTCGGCCCGCTTGGGCCGACATGCCGATACACCGTTCCAGCGACTTTGCGCTCCGAGCCGATATGACGATACACCGATTTAAAGCCACGGGAGGTGCAGAGATTTTGCCGTATCGGCGTATCGGCATGTCGGTTCGGCGGCCCCGATGTGATGGAGCGGCGACCAGGTTTTTCGGTATACTAGATCGGTTTATCGGCGTATCGGCTTGCGCAAACCAGCGCAATGTAAATCCGTACGTCGGCATATCGACCCGCCGCGAGAACGATTCTGGGTTGCGGTCGCCCTCGAAACGGGCCCTGGAGGTGTTTCGCCAGTTCCGTGCTCCCATGGTCGTCCCCGGGCCCTAGGAACGTCACAAGGCGACTCGGGATGGAAGATCGTCCCAGAGCGTTCCAGAACGCTCCCGGCACGTTCCGGAGAGCTCTGGGACGACGGCCAAGTCGCGCGACACGTCCCTCTCGGAGATCCCCGATGTATCCATACCCGCCTTGTGAACCTTCGGCTCCGCTGCCCCTCTCCGATGTCCCCGGCTTGTCTCGCCCCTGCCTTGCCCTCCTGGCCCCTCCTGGCCCATGTGGCTCGCCCGCCCCTCTCGCGCCGCAGAGGATGCGAGTCCTGGTTCCGGCAGGCGGGTGGGCGCGCTCCGCTGGAGGAGGGAGGAGGAGTCTCCCCCTCGTCCGCCTCCTCCTCCTCCTCCTCCTCCTCCTCCTCCTCCTCCTCCTCCTCCTCCTCCTCCTACGGTTTCCAGCATAATGGATGTTCGAAGCGTATCAAATTCAGCTTGCATGATGATAATGTGCGGGCGGGCGGGCGGCGGCTCGCGGCAAGGCGCGAAGCGGGGCCTCCTCACACCCGCCACCGCCGTTTAGCGGTCGCTGCCAGATTCGCTGGAGCTGTCACCTCTGCCCCACTTTCGGGCACAGTCATGCTTTCGCTCGAACTCACAGTATGGGTCAAGGGGAATATAAAACCCGAGAGCCTCTTGAGGGACCTCCCAAGTCCTCGGGCCGACCCTCGTCCTGGCCTCAACCCCGTCCCAAATACATCGAGCCAGCAAATTGCACAACTCAGAGGGGTATTCCTTCAACGCAGCTGTTCGGAACTCCCCCTGCTCCCCACGGCCAAGGGCCTGACGATGCCGACCAGGATGGTTGCACCTCCCCCCCCAGGCCCTTCGCGGACCTTTATCCCCAGAGAGGGAAGGTGGATGGTCAGAAACGTAGTAGGCTTCTCATATTCGCACCCATAGAGGCACTGAGCAACCGTCACCTTCCCGGCTCCTGGCAACGACAGGATATATCGAACCTCGTCCAGCAGCCACGACGAGGGAGCCTGCGGTCGCCAATGGGCCTCGGCCGGGTGTTCCATAATGGCGGGGGTGTCGTGCCCCGCGCACGCCACCAAGAATCTACACATGGTTCTCAGCAAAACATTGCCGAGGTCCACTTGCTTCCTTTCCTTGCTAGTGAGGCACTCAATGCCCCAGGGGAGCTCCCCGGATCTCACCAGCCTGGGGCCCCTGCCGTTGGCCAGAGTGTTGAACCTGGCCGCGCTCCAAGTCTCACACGGGGGCCCCCCGAGCAAGCCGACAACCACGAACGCCCGCACAAGTTTCAGCCAGTGCTCGATGGTATCCTCGACGTTGAGATCCCCCAGCACTGGCGCGCTGGCCACATCCAGGCTCAGGGTCCAGACTGGCATGTCCTGGGGAGCCTGGGTCTGGAAATGCTCGATCCACTCCTGCAGGTCCCCCATCCGACGCCTACCCGAGAACAAGTGCAGGATAAAGTAGTACTGGAACCTACAACGCTCTGGCCGTCCTAAAAAAAGCTTGGGCATCCTGTTGGACCTCCACGACGCTGGGGGGCTCGACGGGGTCGCACTCCTCAGGGTCCTGGGGCGGGATCAGTGGGGTCGCCGACCTCACGGCGGGGATCAGGGCCTTCTCCTGGTAGAGGCCTCGTTGCCGAAGATCCTTGCTCTCCTGCGCGTCAAGCCTCTGGAGTTCCAGAACCTGTTCCTCCCCCGTGGGTTTGAAGAAAGCCCGAATCGCCGTGAGACACCTCGCACTTCTGTTTCGCAAATGCTTGCCGGGCCTCATCCTCGTATGAAACTCCCACCCACAGGCGGGGCAGCACGACCCGAACAGAAACCGATTAACCTGCCCGAGCTCAGGGTGGGCCTTAGCAACATGGATTTTCCACCCGGTCTTGCTTTGGGCGGCGTAGCCGCATTCATAGCACACATAGCCTCCAGGGGACTTGACCTTCGCAAAAGGGGGAGGGGGCAAGCTTCCGCCTTCGGCTTCCGCCGCGAGCGCCCTGCGCCACTCCGTGAGTCTCAGCTGGTCTCGCTCCCAGGCAAGCGAGCTCCTCCAGGCCGAGCGAAGACAGGTGAGAAAGAAGTCAGGTCCGCCCCTGGCAACTTCCACTGCGGCTTCCACGGAATCCCCCAGCGCCCGAGCGGTCTCCGCCCCCCGCGTGCTTTCGCACCCACGCGATGCCATCTTTTATCAGTTGTGGCCACGAGCCGCGGACATCCCACTGCCTGTCAAGCAACAACAGAAGCTGACGCGGGGTGCACTGAAGCAAACGCACGAGATACTTGAGTCTCCTGTGCGCCATCAGTCGCCCAAGAGGCGCCCGCTGGCACGTGAGCAAAACCTCGGCGTCCGAAGCGGTATCCTGCCGCCTCTGACACTTAACGGCGCGTCTCAGGGACCCGTAGTACGCCGACTCCAACTGTTGCTTGCTTTTCTCACTCAGCTGCCCCCACGTCTCCGCGTTATGTATAATCTTAGACTCAATGTGAGCCGCATGATATTGCAACTTAGCCGCCAGAGAGACTCCTCTCATTTGGAAAACGGTCCTAGACATCGCTCCCGTGATGGCTCTAGCAGCGCCACATCTATAGGCCACCTCGGGCCCGATCGACCCGCCCGCCGCCAGCAACGTCCCAAGGGACTTGCGCGTGGCCACCACCCCAACCGTCTCCTGCAGGCTTGGGATGCAAATCTGGCCTTGCAACTCAACCGACAACAAGCGCTTGCACCGCGCGTTGTCTCTGCCGTTGACCTGGATCATCACCTGCGGTTTTCCCGCCACGAAACTGATGACGAGGCCATCTTGGGCCACGCGCGTGACGATAACCGAGAAAACCGCGCGCGTGACCCACGACACATCAGAATTGCTCCTGCACACCACGGGGAAGTTGGCATCGTCAGCGTAGGCGGTGTCAGCCAGGGGGGGGCTCGTCCCCCGACTCGGCCAGGATGCTGACCTGGGCCCTTTTCAACTCATACAACAGACCCTTCTCACTTAAATCCCTTTCGATATTGTGCAAGGTCCTGGCGAAAAGGGTGTTGTAGAACAAATCGGCAAGCGCATTGCCCGGCCTCGAGCCTTTGGTCGCGGCAGCGGCACTGCATGCCTCGCCGACCCGAAACCGCGTCGCTCTCTGGCTTTCGCTCAGCAGTCGACTTAGGTGGGGGGGTCTTCCCCTCAAGGATACACGGCGACTGCGTCGTCTGCTCGAGGGCTGGTCTCATCCACTCTTTAATAGGGACAGACTCAATAATGCCCCTCCTCTCCTCCTCATCCGTGGGAAGATCAACGACGAACTGCCGAATCATACTATAGAAAGCGCTGACCACGTCCACTCGCGGCAGCACCGCCGTGAACTTCTCAGCCTGCGCCTGGTGCAAAAAAACAACAACATCGCATGGGTGGACAGAGCAGTTCCTCTCCCTTTCCGACCGCCAGTCTGGGAGTCTTTGAGCAGATTCTCAATGGAGGTGTTCAAGCACTGTCTGAGGAAAGCATAGTGGAACTTGGGCACGGCATTGGTCAAGGTGGCAGACCTGAAATGCTTGGCCACCCCCCAGTCCCCCTTGCCTTTGAACAGCCCGCGCGACTGGGCCCCCTTCCAGGACGGCGGCTCGAACCCCGTAAGACTGACCTTAACTAACAGGGGTTGGATATGTCGAGCCACAGCCTCTGGGGCCGCGGCCAACACATCGACCGAGAGCCCGTTGGGCGCGACCTTCCTCTTCGGGGCCCCCATGGATGGCCCCAGCGAGCCACTCGCGGGTGGGGGCATACTGCATACTCAACCGCCGCCTGAAAGTCGGTACTCATTCTATGAGCCGTCTTATCGTAGATATCCTCGAGCTCCCGGAGCTGCACCCTACGGGCCCCCTCAATTTTAGAGGAATGCCTCAGAAGCTCCTCATCCCTTTCCTGGGGCCCTCGAAGGGCCCGACCCTGGCTATCCTGATAGATAGGCAACATATTCGCCCCTTTTATACCGAGCCTGTTCGAAACCTCCGGTGGCGATGACCCTCTTGGCCTTCTGCCACTCATTGTTAGCGTCCCCGCTCTCACGACTACCCATCATTTCCTGCGCCATGTCTTCAATTTTACTGATGCGATCTCTCATGATGCAGTCGCGCAGCACCTGCCGGGTCTGGTCAAGGAAAAAATGGATAGCATCAGCCAGGCACCCAACTGGCAACACGGTCGCCACAACGCGTGAGCAAATTCCCTCCAGGTAGCACGCGTGAAGGCTCCACTCGCACTGCGCCTGCGCAAAGTCTGAGATTCGCGGCCCAAAAGACCACGCAAAGATACGCGCAATGTCCCAGTTGCCCTGCCTAACTCCTCGGATAACCTTGACCCCCCACCTGCGGAGGCTAACGAGCCCCATGACCTGCCTACTGACATACGGCTTGAAGGGGGTAAAAGGAGTCCTGGCCAAAGTGCTTCTTAGCCGCGTCCAGCATGGTTTCAGTCACCGCCACGCTATGCTCCTCAGCGCCGACCGCCCACGCGCGCACTGGCCGTTCGTCGAGCTCCCGAGCGAAGGCACCCCTGATTTCTGGGTCGGACAACTTATGGGGATCCATGCGGGGGGCCCCATGAGTCTTCACTTTTTTGGCCACCTGATACTCAAACCTACAAACGACAGGGAAGTGATCATCCTTGAGCCGCTGCGAGTCAAAAGCGTAGTCCACCCAGACCTTCTTGGCGTACTGTCGCCAAGCCACACTGGTGGTCACATAGTCCAACCGGTGCCTGGCGCCAGCATGCGACACCCAAGTGTACCCCTGCTCGTGAGGCAAGACCGTGTTGAGAGCCACGTGGCCCCCAATATCAAGCAAGTTCCGAAAATCTCCTCCGTTATCATCGTCCTTCTGCTGCAAACCACACACCCCAACCCCTTCGTCCTCAACGCTGCCGACGCATGCGTTCGCATCAGCAAGCAGGATGGTCGGCTTCCATCGCGCCATCAACTGGCGCGCGTGTGCCCACCACGCCTTGCGCACCTCCGGCTTGTGCTTACTGCGTGGGGGCATGCAACGCAGCAGCATTTTCGTTGAAAAACTTGGCCTGCACAGCCACGACGAGGGCGCGGGGGTCTGAATACAGCGCACGGACCTGCTGGGGTTGGATCCGATGTTCAACCTCGCCCACCTTCGCGTATACAGTTTGCAAATTGACGTTGAGCTCGCACCCAAGACTACCCTTTTCAGGCCCCGAAGGCAGGGCCAAGAAATCCCCCGCGACCTTGCGTCGCTTGTGCGTACGGCTTTCTTGCACCCCCACGAACAGCCACCCTAACTGCCTGAAC